CCTGTTATTGGTCTATTCAGGGATTCAACTTCTTCCTGGTTTAGTCTTAGAAAGGTGTATGTGTCTAGGAATTGATCCATTTCTTCTAATTTTTCTAGTTTATTTGCATAGAGGTGTTCATAGTATTCTCTGATGGTAGTTGTATTTCTGTTTGTATTTCTGATAGCCCCTTTATCATTTTTTATTGTGTCTGTTTGATTCTTCTGTCTTTTCTTCTTTATTAGTCTTGCTGGTGATCTGTCAATTTTGTTGATCTTTTCAGAAAACCAGCTCCTGGATTCATTGATTGTTTGAAGGGTTTTTTTGTGTCTCTATCTCCTTCAGTTCTGCTCTGATCTTAGTTATTTCTTGCCTTCTGCTAGCTTTTGAATGTGTTTGCTGTTGCTTCTCTAGTTCTTTTCATTGTGATGGTAGGGTGTCGATTTCAGATCTTTCCTGCTTTCTGTTGTGGGCATTTAGTGCTATAAATTTCTCTCTACACACTGCTTTAAATGTGTCCCAGAGATTCTGGTACGTTGTGTCTTTGTTCTCATTGGTTTCAAAGAACATCTTTATTTCTGCCTTCATTTCGTTATTTACCCAGTAGTCATCCAGGAGCAGTTGTTCAGTTTCCATGTAGTTGTGCGGTGTTGAGTGAGTTTCTTAATCCTGAGTTCTAATTTGATTGCACTGTGGTCTGAGAGACAGCTTATTGTGATTTCTATTCTTTTACATTTGCTGAGGAGGGCTTTACTTCCAACGATGTGGTCAATTTTGGAATAAGTGTGATGTGGTGCTGAGAAGAATGTGTATTCTGTTGATTTGGGGTGGAGAGTTCTGTAGATGTCTATTAGGTCCACTTGGTGCAGACCTGAGTTCAATTCCTGGATATCCTTGTTAACTTTCTGTCTTGTTGATCTGTCAAAGGTTGACAGTGGGGTGTTAAACTCTCCCATTATTATTGTGTGAGAATCTAAGACTCTTTTTAGTTCCCTCAGGACTTGCTTTATGAATCTGGGTGCTCCTGTATTGGGTGCATATATATTTAGGATAGTTAACTCTTCCTGATGAATTGATCCCTTTACCATTATGTAATGGCTTTGTCTCTTTTGATCTCTGTTGGTTTAAAGTCTGTTTTATCAGAGACTAGGATTGTAATCCCTGCTTTTTGTTTTGTTTTGTTTTCCATTTGCTTGGTAGATCTTCCTCCATCCCTTTATTTTGAGCCTATGTGTGTCTCTGCACATGAGATGGGTCTCCTGAATACAGTACACTGATGGGTCTTGACTCTTTATCTGGTTTGCCAGTCTGTGTCTTTTAATTGGAGCATTTAGCCCATTTACATTTAAGGTTACTATTTTTATGTGTGAATTTGATCCTGTCATTATGATGTTATCTGGTTATTTTGCTCTTTAGTTGATGCTGTTTCTTCCTAGCATTGATGATCTTTACAATTTGGCATGTTTTTGCAATGGCTGGTACCGGTTGTTCCTTTCCATGTTTAGTGCTTCCTTCAGGTGCTCTTGTAAGGAAAGCCTGGTGGTGACAAAATCTCTCAGCATTTGTTTGTCTGTAAATAATTTTATTTCTCCTTCGCTTATGAAACATAGTTTGGCTGAATATGAAATTCCGAGTTGAAAATTCTTTTCTTTAACAATGTTGAATATTGGCCCCCACTCTCTTCTGGCTTGTAGAGTTTCTGCTGAGAGATCCACTGTTAGTCTGATGGGCTTCCCTTTGTAGGTAACCTGATCTTTCTCTCTGGCTGCCCTTAGCACTTTTTCCTTCATTTCAACCTTGGAGAATCTGACAATTATGTGACGTGTGGTTGCTCTTCTCAAGGAGTATCTTAGTGGTGTTCTTTGTATTTCCTGAATTTGAATGTTGACCTGTCTTGCTAGGTTGGGGAAGTTCTCCTGGATAATATCCTGAAGTGTGTTTTCCAACTTGGTTCCATTCTCCCGTCACTCACTTTCAGTTACACCAATCAATTGTGGGTTCGGTCTTTTCACATAGTCCCATATTTCTTGGAGGCTTTGTTCATCCCTTTTCATTCTTTTTTCTCTAATATTGTCTTTACGCTTTATTTCATTAGGTTGATCTTCCATCTCTGATATCCTTTCTTCTGTTTGATCGATTTGGCTATTGATACTTGTGTATGCATCATGAAGTTCTCATGCTGTGTTTTTCAGCTCCATCAGGTCATTTATGTTCTTCTCTAAACTGGTTATTCTAGTCAGCAGTTCCTGTAACCTTTTATCAAGATTCTTAGCTTCCTTGCATTGGGTTAGAACATGTTCCTTTAGCTTGGAGGAGTTTGTTATTACCTACTTCCTGAAGCCTACTTCTGTCAATTCGTCAAATTCATTCTCTGTCCAGTTTTGTGCCCTTGCTGGAGAGTAGTTGCAATCATTTGGAGGAGAAGAGGCATTCTGGTTTTTGGAATTTTAAGCATTTTTGCGTTGGTTTTTCCTCATCTTTGTGGCTTTATCTACCTTTGATTTTTGATGCTGATGGTTTTTGGATGGGGTTTTCCTGTTTGTGTCCTTTTTGTTGAGGTTTATGTTATGGCTTTCTGTTTGTTAGTTTTGCTTCTAACAGTCAGGCCCCTCTTCTGCATATCTGCTGGAGTTTGCTGGAGGTCCACTCCAGATCCTGTTTGCCTGGGTATCACCAGTGCAAATATTGCTGCCTGCTACTTCCTCTGGAAGCTTCGTCCCAGAGAGGCACCCACCTGATGCTGGCCAGAGCTCTCATGTATGAGGTCTGTCGACCCCTGTTGGGAGGTGTCTCACAGTCAGGAGGCATAGGGGTCAGGGGCCCATTTGAGAAGGCAGTCTGCCCCTTAGCCAAGCTCAAATGCTGTCCTGGGAGATCCACTGTTCTTATTAGAGCCAACAGACAAGAACATTTAAGTCTGCTGAAGTTGTGCCCACAGCTGCCCCTTCCCCCAGGTGTTCTGTCCCAGGGAGATGGGAGTTTTATCTATAAGCCCCTGACTGGGGCTGCTGCCTTTCTTTCAGATATGCCTTGCCAAGTGAGGCGGCATCTAGAGAGGCAGTCCTAGCCCCAGGGGCTTTGCTGTGCTGCAGTGAGTTCTGCACAGTCAGAGTTAACACTGTTAGGGGAAAACTGCCTACTCAAGCCTCAGTAATGGCAGATGCCCCTCCCCCCACCAAGCTCGATCATCCCAGGCTGACTTCAAACTGCTGTGCTGGCAGTGAGAATTTCAAGTCAGTGGTTCTTAGCTTGCTGGGCTCCATGGTAGTGGTACCCACTGAACGAGACCACTTGGCTCCCTGGCTTCAGCCGCCGTTCCAGGGGAGTGAACGGTTCTGTCTTGCTGGGGTTCCAGGCACCACTGGAGTAGGAAAAAAAATTCCTGCAGCTAGCTCAGTGTCTGCCTGAACAGCCGCCCAGTTTTGTGCTTGAAACCCAGGGCCCTGGTGGTGTAGGCACACAGGGAACCTCTTGGTCTATGGGTTGCAAAAACCGTGGGAAAAGCGTAGTATCTGTGCCGGATAGCACGGTCCCTTATGGCACCGTCCCTTGGCTAGGGGAGGGAGTTCCCCAGCTCCTTGCTTTTCCCAGGTAATGCGATGCCCCACCCTGCTTCTGCTCCGTAGGCTGCACCCATTGTCTAGCCAGTCTCAATGAGATGAACCAGGTATCTCAGTTGGAAATGCAGAAATCACCCGCCTTCTGCATTGGTCTCACTGGGAGCTGCAGACTGGAGCTTTTCCTATTCAGCCATCTTGCCACAGCCTATGAGTCTAGATCAATTTATAGAGAATGGATGTATTTATAATTTTGAGTTTTTCAATTAATGACAATAAATGGTATGCTGGTAAAATGGCTCTCTGTAAAACACCACCACTTGATTTGTAGCATTTTTCAACTTCCATGATGTAAATTGTCTCACCATGGCTGATTTCCAGTAGTAAACCATTTAGAATCAAGTTCACAAAACTCCTGAATATTTAACAATCAGTTGTCATGAGCCAATTCAAATTGGTGGCACATCATTAAAAATGGTTCATCACTAAGTTTATTTTGGTCAACTCGATTTTTCTTTTTTATTAGATTTACTCCTAGGTCTTTTTTACTTTGTATGTAATTGTGAATGGTATATATTTATGTCTCTATATATAGCATTATTGCTGAGTTATGTTTTTCTAGGACTTTATACCTTTTTTAAATATTCAAACTAATTACATAATGTTTATAATATCCTCCTATTATCTTTTAGGTATCTGTAGGAACTGTAGTGGTCTCATTTGTCATTGGTTATGTTTTCTCCTTTTTTTCCTTTGTCGATCTTAGTACAGGTATTTATCAACTTTGTTGTGTTTTGTTCCAAAACACAACTTTTTTCTGTGTTCATTCTCTCTGTGTAAGGTTTGTTTTTTGTTTCTGTAATTCCTGCTTTTGTCTTTATTATTTATTTTCTTCTACTTTTGAGAGGTTAAATTTGCTATTGTTCTCTAACTTTTTGAGATAGAATCTTAGATTATTGGTCTTTTTATCTTTTTTAGTATACGCATTTGAGACTAAATTCCCCTCAGCGCATCTTTACTTGATTCCACAAGTTTTAATATGTAATATTATCATTGTCAAGATATATTCTAACTTTGTAGGATTTGTTTTTTGACACAGGAATTATTTTAAAATGCACTTACTGATTTCCAAATATATGGGAGTTTTCTTAGTAATCCTTTACTATTGATTTCCAGTTTAATTCCCTACACTAGATAACACATTTATTTGTACCAATTGTCTTTGCCATTATGCTAATTTAAAATGGCATAAGCTTTATATATCTGTGAGCAGTATTATTTTATAACCATCACTGTGGGAACACTTCTTTTACTAGGGTTGAAGGAATACTATTCATTCTCTGTATCTGCAATTGACTGCTTATTGTTTAATAAATACCATTATTTGCCTTAATTCTGCTTTCGTAATTTTAAATTACAATATTTTTAAAATTTTTATTTTTCTCTATGTTTTTTGTTTTGAAGGAGGAGAAGTTGACTTCAATGACCTGGAAAATGTCCTGCAAAATATGGGGATAGAGCTCACATCTAGAGAACACTTGGAGCTAGAGAAATTACTTCCAGTTGATGGTGAGCATTTCAAATAGTAGTTTTCAGGCAAGTTGGTGTAGTCATCAAGGGAGTTATTCCACATTACACATATCAGTAGAGTCTTGAAATAGGAATATATCCTCAAAATTTATATTTTCCAACAACCTATGTTTGTTGTACATTGTTTATAAATTAGGGATTTTAAATATTCATAATTTCATAGGTAACTATTTTTAATATTTAGGAATATAAAAATTGTCTAATAAAATATACATAACCATAAATCTTGTCATCCGGGCTAAGGAATTAATATTGATGGTTATCTTTCATTCTATTGAGATGTGTTGAGTTAAGACCTATAGGAAACAGGAGGAGGAGATGGAAGAGGAGGAGGAGGAGAAACGTATAGATGTATAGGAGCTGTGGAGAAAAAAAGAGTAAAGTCAGAAAAGGTGTACTTTTTTTACTTTATCCTAGTTGATATTAATAATTTTCTCAGATGCTAAAGAATTGGCAGATTTACCATATTAACAATTTTGTCTACATTTTAATTTTATTATTTTAGAAGATATTAAGTGAATTTTAAGAGCAAATTATTTTATGGTCTGTATTTCTGAACTTAGAGATTTTTATATTGCTATTGCATATATAGTTCTTTTCCATATGACGTAAATTACGTATTTTCTTTCAGCTAATGGAAAAATATATAAGAATAGGTTGCTGAATTGTGTGAAAGGTGTAAAAGGTAAGTGATATGCAAATTGAGAAAGAAGATTAATTGAGGTACTTGTGTTATGCTTTTGTTTCTTCCTCACCACGAAATTTGCTATCAAACTCACGTATATCTTCATAATTATTTTTAATACATATACATGTTCACATTGGTTTAATAATTGCCTGTGTTTTATTTTTAAAGTTATTCTACCTATCTTAGATTTTTCTCAGTTTTGGCTATGGAAATAATAAAATTTAGTCCTAGGTATCAAAATTTTAGAGAAGCTAATATATCTTGAGATATAGTGAGCAAACAGAACCTTAGTTGTATGGATACTTATATTAAAAACTATTTTAAAATTTGCTATTTTTCTGCTATAAATAAACTGAGTGGTTTATCAACTTTCAACATGCTATTTATGTGGGCTCATTTTGGATATTGGATGTAAATGAATAGATTGATTTTAGTTCATTAATGGCCCTCTTTAAATACTTAAGTGTCCCTGGGCTCTTCTTTATAATGAAATTGATAATCATGATACATAAAAATTGATATTTATTACATTTTTACTTTTGTTTCAATGTCTTCATGTCTTCCTCTTTTATAGAGTTGCAAGTCAACGTTCATGACATTGACAGTATACTCGGAAACATGGCATTCAAACTCACAGCTGAGGAACTTAATGATCTAACCCCAAATCTACCAGTGAATGGTGAGAAACTTAATAGCTTTGCACCCTCAAGAGAATTTGGATTCTTAATAGCTTTGCACCCTCAAGAGAATTTTGGCTGATATTTTTGATAGTACTTATTTGGCTTAGATGAGAATGATATTTTTCTCTTAATATATTAATCTAAAGTTGGTACTTTTAAATTTTTCATTCATTCACTCATTCATTTGTTTAACAATTTTTTACTAAGCACTATATATCAGGTGCTATGCTAAGTGCCAGAGATACAGTGGTAAGCAAAAATAGACATAGTCTTTGGCTTTATGGGGCCTAATGTAAACAATTCTTAGCATACCAAGAGTAGCTGAGAAGTTGCTAGGGCCTTAGTCAAATCAACAGTTTTCATAGGAACTAGAGCTACCAGAGTTTCAGGCGATGTGTACATTTTCCCTACTTATTTATAGGCATGGATTTTCAAATTCTTGAATCAAATTTCATGAATCAAGGACAGAATTGCCTGTCTTGAAGGAAAAATTGAATTAGAATTGAAGTGTGGTAAATCACAAAGTAATCTCTAATTTAAAGGAACTAAAATAGAATATATTAAGCTAGACACAGTCCAATGAGACAAAACAGCATTCCCTAGGAACATTTTACTGAACACTGTCTCTTACATATAAAAATGTTTGTTCACACGATTTGCATGCCATTTAGTTATAACTTTGCCATGGATTTTGCATACTGTTTCACTGTTGCCCTATGGTAAACTCATTCCCCAAAATATATCTTTATCAAATCATTGCTTCATTTTTCAGTACTATTGATGTACTAGTTAAAGACATGTAGTTAGATGTTAAATATATGGGAGAGTGACATCAGCAAGATGGCAGAATAGGAGGTCCCTACTCTAGTTCACCTCAGAGAAACACTGATTATCAACTATCCACAGACAAGAATGCCTTTGTTAAAATCTCAGAACCTGAGATTGAGGCTAAAAAGCACCCCCTTGACACGTAAAAATGGAGGAAAGCTGTATCAGAAGGGTGAGAGGAGAGGTTTCATTTTGTTGTAGCACAGCACCACACCAAAAGGGATCCCCAAACCAATGGTTTCTCTAGTGAAAAAAGTGATCCTAAGGTGAACATCAAGCTTCCTCAGTGTTCTAGGCAATTTTAAGTGGGTCTATTTTTGTCTTGCCTCATGGGGAACAATGGGGGAATTGGCAGGGCTAGACAACCTGGGGTCACATAGGAACAGAAAAAGGGGGACACGGTTCACAGTAACCAGTGTGCTGACCTTGGTGATGGCACTGCATTCTGCTAGTGGCCATGCCCAACCAGAGAGCCCAGCCAGTGGCTTCCTGAAGCCTAATGGTCAGCAAATAGGTTGAATTTGAAGAGGTCTACATCAAGACATATTATAATTAAATTGTCAAAAGCCAAAGAAAAAGAATTTTGAAAGCATCAAAAGAAAAGTGAATTATCATGTACAAGGGACCCTCTTGTAAGACTGACAATGGATTTCTCAGCAGAAATCTTGTAGGCAAGAAAATAATGGTATTATATATTCAAATTATGGAGAGAAAAAAAAATCTGCTAACCAAGAATACTGTATCTGGCAAAGCTGTCCTTCAGGAATGAAGGAGACAGAAATACTTTCCAATATAAACAAAAGCTGAGGGAGCTTATTATTACTAGTTTACTGCCCTACAAGAAATACTTACGGGAGTTCTTCAAGCTAAAATGTAAGGATGCTAATTAACAACATAAAAACATATGAATGTATAAAACTCACTAATAAAAGTAAATATATTTAGACAAATCTGGAATTTTCTAATATTCTAATGGTGGTAGATAAATCACTTTCAACACTAGTATAAAAGATAAGCGTATTAAAAATTACTATAACTATAATAATTTGTTAATGGGCACACAATACAAAAATGTGTAAACCATAATATCAATAATCTAAAAGGTAATGAGGAGAAAGTAAAAGTATAGAGTCTTTTTCTTTACTGTTGCCCAGGCTGGAGTTCAGCGGTGTGATCTCAGCTCACTGCAACCAAGAACCCTCCTGGACTCAAAGCAATCCTCCCTCCTCAGCCTCCAAAGTAGCTGGGACTACGAGTGCACACCACCACACTTGGCTAATATTTTTGTATTTTTTGTAAAGACAGAGTTTCAGCATGTTGCCCAGGCTGGTCTCGAACTCCTGGGCTCCAGCAATCTGCCCACCTTAGCCTCTCAAAGTGCTAGGATTACAGGCATGAGCCACCATACTCAGCCCTTCGTATATGACTGAAGTTAAGTTGTCATCAACTTAAAATAGGATGTTATAGGATGTTTTATTAAGCCTCATGGTAATCACAAAAGAAAAAACCCTATAGCAGATATGCAGAATATTAAAAGTAAGGAATAAAAGCATACCAGCACAAAAAGTCATCAAATCACAAAAGGAGATGTAAGAGGTGGGTTAAATAGATTAACCTGGGATGTGGCAAAATCTTTAATTTATATTACATTTTTAAAAATCAAGGATGTGTCCCATAAATTTGGATAACTACTCAAAGAATATTTAAAATATACATATATATATATAGTCATTCCTTGATATTTGCGGGGGATTGGTCCCTGGACCTCCCACAGATACAAAAATCCATGGGTGCTCAAGTCCTTTACATGAAATGACATAGTAGTTGCATGTAACCTATACACATCCTCCCATATATTTTAAATCATCTCTAAATTACTTATGATACCTAATACAATGTAGGTGCTATGTGTTCAGTACAGATACCACACATTTAAAAAAATATTTTTTGCCTGTGGTTGGTTGAATCTGTAAATGTGGAACCCAGAGATGTGGAGGGCCAACTGTGTAACTAAGAAGCTAATAGAGGGAATAATGGAAAAATAAAAATAAGTCAAGAGAAAGGAAGAAGTAAATTTAAAAAGAGAGAATGAAAGCATAACAAGTTGGCAAATAAAGCAATAGTAAATATTGATTTAACTAAAATATAATATTATGGTAAATGTAAATGCAATAAATATTCAAATTAAAACAAAAAGATTGTGAGTCTAGATTATAAAATAATATATACTACTTACACGAGACACATCTTAAATGTAAATACAGAGAAAAGTTGCAAGCAAAAGGATGGATACATAATACAAGCACAAATGAAAATAAAGCTGGTATAATTAATACCAAGCTAGGTAGAGATTATAGCAAGATAAGCCAGCACATTGCAGCATGATAAAGGAGTTAATTCATGAGGCAGATAATCCAGTTCTAAATTTTCATGTTTGTAATAATATAATTTCAAAATATATAAAGCACAGAATGACAAAACTTAATGGAGAAATACATCCTCACCATAGAGATTACAACATATATCCTTCAGAAATTGCTAGAATAAGCAATCAAAATTTATCAAGAATATTTGAATAATATAATTAACAGACTTAATTTACATATATAGAGCACTGATATATGTTTCAGCAAAATTAAAACTTAAAAAAAACATTACCAGGATCTTCCCCTCTGTGGATCATTATGAAATAACTAGCTCTCCTGCCATAAACAATTATTAAACTGGACAATATATATAAGGCTACTGTTTTCAAGGATTGGACACAACGGAAAGTGCAAGACTCTGATCCTTGAGAGAAGAAAAAGTTATGAAGTAAGCCTAAGGACAATTTTCCAGTCATAGTTTAGGAAGCTAAAGCCCAAGCAGAACACAGTGGTTAGATTAGGGTTCAGTACTGTTGAAATGGCTGGAATCTGATGGGCGTAGTGCCAGTGAGAAGAACGCTGTGTAGGAAGTGAGGCAGAAGTCTATAGGGTCAGGTGGGGGATGCTCTGAGTTCTGAGCCAAGGTTTAGACCACACATGCTCAAAGTGATGCTAAACTAGAAAGTAGCTGCTACAGGACTGAGAGCAGAACAATGGCATTAGAGGTAAAGCAATGCTAGTTGACGTGTCAGTCCAACTAGAGTGAAGAAACCTCGTTAACACCTTGGACAGGTAGCTGAGAAACCAGAAAGGCTATACCACTGAAGTAAATACCACAACCTGGAGTAAGGATTATTCTAGATCTGCACTGTCCAATATGGTAGCCATTAGCAACATGCAGTCATTTAAATTTAAATGAATTTAAATTAAATAATACTAGAAATTTAGTTCTCTAGTCACACTAGCCATTTTTCAAGTGCTAAATAGTCATACCTGATGAGTCCTATTGTATTGGTGCAGAGGTAGAACATTTCCATCATCACAGAAAGGTCTATTTGACAGCACTGCTTTAGATCAATTATTACAATGTGCAAAATCAAACCTACACTAATTCAGGGTCACCTGTATGGAACTGCCTGTTGGAATAAAATTCAAGATGCTTCAGAGGAATGGAACAGAATCCAGAGTCTTATGAGATATTAATCACAACATCCAGCACACAATAAATATTACTAGATAGATATGAAACAGAAAAGTATTATAGTCAAATAAAGAAAAAAAAAGAATCACCAGATACATAGTTGGATATAGCTCAGATGTTGGACTTAGCAAAGACTTTCAAGCAGCTATTACAATTATGTCCAAGGACTTAAAGAAAAATAAAGGAGGACCACTTCCCACTAATCAATGGTTGAGTGATGCTCCTGAGTAAACGTAATCCCTGGCACCTCTAATATGCCCCAAACTGGCCAAGCATACTTATATAACAAGAGAAAACAACTAGAGAATTACAGGTACTTGTAAGAAGTTATCATCATGGATGGGGCAGGAACAACTTTTGCCTTTGAACTTCTTCAGATTGGGATCGATGGTCTGTATGTGTGTTAATCCATTCATGTTGCTATAACAAAAATACCTAAAACTGGCTAATTTATAAACAACAAAAATTCATTTCTCACAGTTTCAAAGGCTAGGAAATCCAAGATCAAAAATACCTAAAACTGCCTAATTTATAAACAATAGAAATTCATTTATCACAGTTTCAGAGGCTAGGAAATCCAAGATCAAGGCATTGACAGATCTGGTGTTTGGAGAGGGCTTGCTTTCTGCTTCAAAGATAGAACATTCTTGCTGTGTCCTTGCATGGTGGAAGGGGCAGAAGAAG